CTTGAAGAGGCGTACAAGGGTAGACATCCTCTACGTTTGCAACATCAACGCCGCAAAGCCTCGCGCTCTCTTGTCGTGCTGCATCAGCATCCCAATCCTTTCCAATCATCGAGAATGGATGAACCTCGTTTGTCTCTTCCGCAGAGACTGGTTTGGCCTTTTCAGCCATAGCTGATAGAGTCGGGTTAAGCATGATATCTGGCACGCTCAATACAATCCCCTCATCCCTCGCAGCAGCTACCAATCTCATGGCTCTCAGAGAGTCGCCGCCCATGCTAAAGAAATTGTCGTTGGCGCTGAAATCGGCGTCTCCACCGAGCAGCTTCGCCCAAAGTGACTGAAGCTTCAGCTCCATTTCCGTCGTAACCTCTTTCTTCTCGGATACAGCAGAATTGAAGCGGCGGAGGTCCTGACGAGTGACGGAAGCACCAATCTCACGCAGCCGCTTCCGATCCGTCTTACATGAGACGAGCAGAGGCATCTTCCAGAGCGGAATATAAGCACAAGGTATCATGTAACTGGGCAGGTCAACAAAGAGCTGCTTCGTCATATCCCTGAGGGCGCTCTGGAACTTATTTGTAAAGCTTCCGAAGACGTTACCGTCGAGGTGACGCATTCCGTTCTTCTTCTGCTCGACGAGAAAGGCGACCAATGTCTGCTCGCCACCACCACTTGGTTTGATGACTTCAGCTGCTAGCTGCGTATCAGGAGGCAGATGCTTTTGCATATTGAATTCGATTTCAGCCAGCTCGATACGCTGTCCGCGTAGCTTGACCTGCTGGTCCTGGCGTCCGACGAAGATGGGCTCGCCGTTACCATCTGGGTCAAAACGCACCAGATCACCAGTCTTGTAGATGCGTCCATGTCGACCGGGATAGCTTTTACTTCCTTTGAGCAAGAACTCGGGGTCTTCGATGAAGACCTCCTTTGTTTTGGATGGGTTGTTCAGATATCCGTTGCCGACAATGGGGCCTTCAATCAGCAACTCGCCAACTGCACCAACAGGTACTAGCTTATTGTGATTCTCAGGGTCGGTAAGCCAGAGAGCGCAGCCTTTGCGTTTGCCCATTGTGATGTAAGGTTTGGCAGCTACATTGTCATTGATAGTGGCGCCCACTGTCGCCTCGGATGGACCGTAAGCATTCACGACTCTAGTCCTTTGACCCCATGACATGGCGTCGCTTATTGAAACGCCCTCGCCTCCTAGCGCGATAGATTCGAGGTTATTCAGAATATCTACGTCCAGAGTTCGAGCGACCGACGGTGTCATGCCGGCAAAGGTGACCCGCATGTCACGCATGGCGCCGCTCATGTCGTTCATGCGTCGCTCATCCGAAGGTGTGCAGAGTGTGGCGCCATGCGCCAGTGTGCAAAGCATGGAATCGATGCACACATCGAAAGCGTAACTTGCGAAATCCAGCACGCGAGAATGCGGGTAGTATCCCACAGCTGCAGCGCGTGGTATCGCACCAGACGTATACTGGCTGTGGGTGAGGATACATCCCTTAGGAACACCTGTACTTCCGCTAGTGAATTGAATGTACAATGGCTGATCCGGCGAGACGGGTGGAATTGTAGTACTCGGTTGCTCTGCTGTATACGGAGAAAAGATCTTGTTGAACTTGGATTTGGATATCGGGATGATGGTAGCAGCAGGTGCCACTCGCGCTGCAAGGGTCGATTGTGCTTTGGAAGAGAGAAAGAGTTTGGCATTAACTTGTTGGACCACGGCTCGTAATCGACCTTCCGGCTGAGCTGGATCGAGCAGTGCAAAACATGCGCCAGATTTCATGATCGCGAGCACTGCTACTGACGTCCATCTCGACTTTTCGAACAACACTGGGATAATCCGGTTGGACGAGTCATCCAGCAATCGCAGCAACTTTGCCAGTTTGTCAGAGTAGTCTTCAATCTGGCCATACGTCAAGGTGCCATCCCAGGCATCTATCGCAATCTTTTCTGGATGCAGCGCAGCTCTCTCGGATACCTTTTCGTGCATGCAGAAGCGAAGCTCAGGCTGTAGGGGCGTATTCCAGCTCCACAGCTCGTCGAGCTCGTCTTCTGAGACATTGTGAAAATCGGAGAGCGGATGATCAACATCTTTGAAAAGGGCTTCAAGAATTGAAGCAAAAAAGTGTAGTTGTGACACAGCCTGGTGTCGAGACATGGTGGTTGTTTGCCATGTTGAAGTGGCGTGTAATGTGTCTTGTTGAACATTGAGTAAGACTTGAAATGTCCACTATGTATTGTTAGCTACATGTTTGATTTTAATATATGTAGGAATTACCTCTTCATTAGTGCCGTCATTGAAGAAAAGGGTCGTCTCATTGAGCGTGAACTGGTTCGACTTGACGCTGCTGATTTTCGTTCTCAGACTAGCAGCTGTTTGTTGGTTTGCCCAGTCGATGTCAGCGACAGAAATACACTGTGTCGCAGCGTTTTCTTGCTCTTTCCGTCCCCAGGTGAACTGCTGAAAGACGTCTCGTTGGTAACGTTGTATGAGTATTGCCCAGGCTATCAGGACCGTATCCAGCACTGAGTCTCGATCTGTGCCATTAGGCAGATGTACATGAATATCATTTGCTTTGGAGGCATTTCTGTTTGTGTGCTTAGCTCCAGTGGGGTTCTCTGATTGCAAGGCGTGTTCCTGAGCGTTGAAACCATTGCTGCTTTGTACCTTCTTCGCGGCAGGTTCCTCAGAAACTCCACTAAAGCGCACAGTGTTTTCTCTGCCGTTGGGGAGATGCATCTTGTTGTTCAAACTAGAGTGTGGTCTCTTCATACTTAGGACAATAAACGTGTTCCCCGACGTCGGCGGTTTGAATATAATGTCAATCTTGTTGGAGCACGACTCAAAAGCCCACTCTTTAGTAGTAGTTGAGGCCAAGCAGATGCAGAATGAGACTACTCATGCATCAACACTCTCTATTCAGCCTTCATCCCGCAGTTGGGCCTAGCTCTCCATACACCAGGCTCGGGTGACGCCCCGGCTCTCGTCCATCAGTCCGCTACTGTCTCTTGATCGGACTGCTGTCGGCATCACTGCTTTCACACACCAGACGAGGGCAAATTCTGCTCGTTCGCCCCGGTAAACAGCTCAGGTCGGCTGCATTGCTCATTCTGTAACGTAAGTGCGCAGGGAAGAAGCACACTTGGGGCATTACCGGGGTTTAGCTGTAATGAAAACTCTCCTGACGATTGATAGCCACCCCATATTTAGCGGATCAGATAATCTTAGCGCCCATGGGTGGCGTCACGGGCTTTCATCTGATAAATTTGGTGGGTGACCAATGCAAGCACGGAACGGCCAGCCTGGGAAAAGCGCATGCAGGGTTACGTCGCCAAAGGTGCCCATGGGTTCCATCTGATAACGGCAGAGGCTCCGAATCCTCCAGGGCTGCCAATGACGCGCGTTAGGCCCGCCTACTTTGCTGATCCATGGCGTTTGGCAGCCAGGGGGGTGTGCTGCATGGCTTTGAGAAAAATTATCTGCCGAATGTCATGGGGATATTGGGATTGGGGCCCGCACAGCGCCCAGCGTCAATCAGTCTGCTACACCTGCATCTGAAATCAGCGGCGCATATTCTTTACCTTCCTATGTCGTAATGGTCATTCATATTTACCCTGTTGCTGGTCTCGTCATCCCACGCAGCTGACAAGGTTCCAGACTCGGTCATATACTCTAGCCTGGTAGGTGTAAGTTTTCGCTTAGGGCGGATCTGATAACTTTGATTGACACATGCGACGAGCTATAGCAAGACGTCCAGGGTCTCTCTGGTAGGGACTACCTATCCGTCCACGGCACAATAATTTTTTCCCTCGCTCCGATGACCTTTGAACGCTAGTTTCCGCGCGATTTCTTGTGCAGTGGAGCAGGTGATCAATTTAGTGATCGGCAAGACATGCTTGTAGACAAGGCGCGCCGTTCTCGTCCGGCTCGTTCTCTCAACATTTCTAACCGACATTCAGCGCATCGTGAGCCTCGGCGTCTATAGTGTGGAACTGAGCTTTGTAGTCATTCTCCGAGACCGTGAATCCTTCCTCGCAATCTGCACGGAGTTGTTCATTCAGTTGTGAAACCTTGTCGTATCATTCATCCATTATTCTCCTGTTCGAAGACCATTCGGTCTAGCACCTCTATTGCTTGTCTACCAAACAATTCAATCTTTGGCCCGTCAGAAACAATGGGTTTCGTAGTATTACCCGCTCTTACACCGGACATCAGCGATGTATACGACGTGTATTTTGCGACCTTCAAAAACAATGCAGTTACACGTGCGCTGTTTCCCTCGGCTACAGAAGCCGATTTGCTCAATCCAAAATCCGAGTTTCGGTATGTGTACTGCATTCCTGTCCTCTCCGCCGTCTTTTGCTGTTGCGTAATATTGCAATGTGGGCTGATCTCGCCAAGACAAGGGCACACGAATCATGTTCAGGAGTGGTGGAAGACCAGCCAAACACAATATACTTTGAAGTGTGTCGACACCGAATCCAATAGAATAGTCGGCATGGCAATCTTCGACATTTACACAGCACCCAGCGACTGGAAGCGAGGCGAGATCTCCTGGCTGCAAGGAAAAGAACGGGAACAAGCCGAAGCATTGATCAGCCCGCTTTGGGAGGTTAGAGAGAAGCTCTGGCTCAACGAAAAGTACATCTATGGCCACGTAATAGCTGTCCATCCAGAATATCAGCGAAAAGGTGTCGGCGAGAAAATCTTTAGATACGGCATCACTATATCCCAAAACACTGGATTACCCATTTACATTGAAAGCTCAAAAGATGGTGTGCGCTTCTACGAGAAGATGGGTTGCAGGAGATTGAAAGAAAACCTGAAGCCTTCACTGCAGAGTATCAAGTCAGTAGAAGGTAAAGACTTGAAAGTAGATGACAATCTCCCTTTGTTCGTGTGGTTACCCGAAGGCGCAGAGAAGAGGCTACCAGACGCTGTGCAGTTGGCATAAGAGCTATTGCGACCTAGAAATATTATACCATAGTATTTATCCCAACATTTGGTGAAGGGCATTGACACGGTAGCTTTCGCTCCGCTGTACAAGCTCCTCGTGCCGTCCTTGGTCTACCACCTTCCCAGCTTCAACCAAGAATATAACATCAGCCCTTGCAATCGTCCGCAATCGGTGTGCGATTGCAATCACCGTGACTCCGTGACCCTTCACGGCGCGCTCAAGACCAAGCTCAAGGGCCTTTTCACTTTCCGCATCCAGCGCACTTGTACTCTCATCTAGGAGAAGTAGTTTAGGCTTCCGTACTAGAGCTCGCGCAATGGAAAGGCGCTGACGCTGCCCACCAGAGAGTTGGTTGCCACTAGATCCGCACTCGGTGTCGTATCCCTGTGGGAGCTCCATGATGGTTTCATGTATGTTTGCCAACTTGCAGGCTTCATGTATTTCTTCATCTGACGGCACATGACCAGGTCTCGCTCCCAATGAGATATTGAACTTGATGCTCCCTTGGAAAAGTATATTCTCTTGTGGCACGTAGGCAATGTCGTCCCGGAATGAGGCCCCATGATGACGCGATATGTCAACACCATTGATGAAGATGCTGCCCGTTGATGGCAGATAGAATCGTTCCAAGAGTGCTAGTACAGTGCTTTTTCCTGCACCAGAAGGCCCAACCAGAGCGCAAAACTGGCCTGGTTGTATTGAGAGAGACAGTGATGTGAGAACTGGAATGCCAGGACGAGCCGGGTAGGAAAAACCAACATCTTGGAATACAACCCTAGCGCCGCCTTGTGCTGATGTTGGCGACGTTGATTCAGCCAGCGCCTCGACATCATCTCCTTTCTCATGGAAGTCGCTATCAGATGTAAATTTCCCATTTCTTATGCCGGATGCGTCTGTTCCTAGTTCGATGAGCCCGCATATGCGTGAGATGGCGCTCTTTGCCTTTGCGATTTCTGGGGCGAGTGTAAATAGCTGACCCCAGAGCTGTGCGGAAACGAGCATTGCAATAAGGATGACGAAAAACTGAGTCTGGGTGTATCTCCCCTCAATAATGTTCTTTGATCCCCACCAATAGGCAAAGGCGTAGATGAAGCTGCCACAGGAATTGGCGACAGCTAACCAGACATTTGTCTTGAAACTTTGTTGTACCATTTCCTTCCTGGGAGCCTTGAGGGATCTTCGGTACGTCTGTAGGATTTCGTTCTCGATTGAAAGAGCATGTACTGTTTTGATGTTCGAGACCGCTTCAATTGTAACACCAATGGACGACGAAAATGCCCCAGCGTGCTTGACAGCGAAGCGACCAATCGCGCGTAACTGCATATACCCGGCGCCAAGAAGCAGTGGCACTACCACGAGGCATACGATTGCAATCCGCCATGCGATAATGTGTGACAGGACGATGGCGGCTACGAAGTTGACAACAACAGAAAACAAAGTCCCGACGATGGAACCGCTGAATCCTACTAGTGAATTTCCATCTTTGGTGATGTACTCAAGTAACATTGAAGGATTTCTCGCCTCGGACTCATGCCATTGCAGAGGTTGGTGAAGGAGTGTCTGCAGACTCAGGTTACGAACCTTGTAGATCAGTCGTTCCGAGAGAATGCCAAACGCTGCCCAGCTGGTGAAATTAGCAAAGAAAGCGATACAGGCCAACATGAACCAAAGCCCGGAGAGCAGTTCGCCTCGGGAGCGAATGTAGTCTGGGTCATTACAGGGTGACATAAGACCCATAACGTTACCGAAGAGAAGACCGGAGCCGCAATACTGGCCGCCGACTATCAACGCTGCGAAGAACGCTAACAGGACAAGAAGCGTATATGGCCGGGTCAAAGGAAGCATCGTTTTCCTGATAGATCCCGCAACAATAGCGCCTTTTAGTGGTTCGGCAAAGTCTGGGTTGCTCAAGTCGTTTATGGTCGTAGGATCAGCTTCTTGCGCTTTCATTGTATGTTTTTCGTCCGACAGAGTATCGGCATCGCGCGATTCTAGACTGGCTCTGGAGCTGGAAGGGCCATCTTCTGCCTTGACAGTCTGTAATCGGACCATATCCGCATATGACCCATCCAATTCCAACAGTTCTTCATGGGTACCTTGCTCCAAAATATCGCCCTTTTTCATGACAATGATCTTAGAAGCAGCTCTGATAGTCGAAAGTCGATGCGCAATTGAAATCACAGTTCTACCCGCAGAAGCGCGTTCAATAGCGGCCTGGATGCGCTGTTCGCTTGCGGAATCTAGAGCTGCAGTGGCCTCGTCCAGAATGAGGATCTTAGGGTCCCGAACGAGTGCTCGAGCAAGGGCGATTCGTTGCTTTTGCCCGCCACTAACAAGATTTCCGCTTGAGCCGACAGTGGTACCAAATCCGAATTCTAGCCTGTTGATGAATATTGCCACGTCCGCAAGATCGGCGGCTTGTTGCACGAGTTGGACAATTTCCACTACCTGGGCATATTTGCCTTAGCACAGCGACCATTGAATTTTTATTCTTTCAGAACATGACTCACCTCTTTGCCAGCTTTCTCGGCCGCTTCTCTGAGTTGACTTCCTTTCCTGATATCTTCAGCGACCCCAGCAAGAACTCCACTCAACAAAGTCTTCTCCAAATGAGCATGAGGTGGTGAGTTGACTAAGCCGAGGGCGATATTCTCAAGAATGGAGCGATCCAAAAGCGACGGTTCTTGTTGGACTAGACTGATGAAGCCTCGGAGATTTTTGACGTTGATATCTTTGATATTACGGCCATCAAGGAGCACATCTCCTGATTGCGGATCGTAGAATCTACTAATCAAGCTCGCTATTGTCGACTTGCCGCTTCCAGATAGTCCAACAATGGCGGTCAATTGGCCTAGAAGAGCCATCCAGTCAGCGCTCTACATAATTCGCAATTTGGGAGACTAGATGAGAAATTTCATGTAGAGCAAGGTATACGCACCAGCTTCGCATTTTAATGAGATGCTGTTCAGCACGGGATGGTCAGGCCGGGATGGGTATGTAAAAGCAACATTGCAAAATTCAATCGCTCCTTCCACGTTGGAAAGCTTCTCCGCAGCGGCCGAGGTGTTGTCGATGCTGGGTTCGGTTTCAATGTCTTTTCGCAAGCGCTCGAATGCAGCTATGGCCCCTCCAAACAGTGGTAGCATGGGCGCAATTTGACTCAGAACAATAGCACCTGGATTGCCAATATTAGCATAAGAAATACGTAAATTAATGTTTTGAGCTTACCATCTAAGAGAATGAATGTGACCGTATAGATTTCTCCAATAGTCGCACTACCCTTGCCCTCAAGAGAATCTGCGACTCTGCGACTACCCTGCCAATAACCAAGTGCACTAGCTGAGAAAGCAAAGAGATATAGTAGCCCCGCCTGAACAGCAGCAGCGATTGCCTTCTTGATACCTTGGTCTCGTGCACTTTTCAAATGCCCTTTGAACTTCTCTTCAAGTCTGACATTGGCCCCAAGAGCATGGACAAGACCGACATGACTGAGAGCTTCAGAAGCGATGGCACTGGCGGATCCAAAACATTCCCCCAACTTGATGCTATACTTTCCGACAAAGTGACCACCAACTACTGCCATGAGCAAGAACGCAGGAATCAGAGACACAAGCATGCCCGCTATCTCAGCATTCTTGATAAAGCCGACTATGTACGCGGTGACACAGAAGGATATGCATGTCAGAGCAACGCCAACCTTTTCACCGGTACCACTTTCGATTGCCTGAATGTCACCATTCAGACGAGAGGATACTTCACCGGCTTGGAGTTTATCGAAAAAGGTCATATCTTGTCGTAGGAGATTGCGGAGGTAGCGATCCCGAACACGTTGAGCCAACCTCTGGGAAGCCAGATTCCAACATACCAGATGGATGTAAATGCAGGAAAAACTGGCAATGGCGATATAGACCAGGAGAAGAATTTTGGGCGTGATATTAACTTCCTTAGATGGCGTGGAGCTGCCAGCCTGGTTGTTACAGGTTATTGTGTTGATTTCATCAACGAGTTGGCCGAAGACAATTCCTATGAGTGGGAATGGCACGCCTGCTGCGATGGCAGCTATGCTGCCAACGAGAACAAGTACCCTGTCGAGCCATGTGGGATCCGCGTAAAAGAGGAGATGGAGGAAGCCGAAGAAGGGCTTAATAGAGGCCCGCGAGGGCATGCTGATGGGCATGGAACATACAAAGAGTGTTCAACTGCTGATGAGGAGGTGCCTTTCGCCGTACGATTTCATGAAACTGTGCGAGGACACCTGCATAAGGGCAGCCGGGCGCCATAGCCCCACTGAGAGGCGACGGCCAGGATCGACACGGCGCAGGCGGTGGAAATTGCTGGCGTCGTGTCCATTGGGAACAGCATCACGTGAAATCAATGCATCGTAGATATAATAGTACTAGGCGATTAGAGTAGGTACATGGTGCCAATGCCAATGTGGGCTGAGCTTGGGGAGTGGAGAATGGATGTCTGTGTGTGTGACTTGGCAGCAGGCGATACTCGGACGTGGTCAGTGCAAGTGCAAGTGACGCACGGATCATATGAATTACTCAGAAGATCAGATAAAAATTTCGCTAGCTCTACACCGTTTTGGACAACCGCCACCCACGTCGTTCACTCTATATCCTTGCCTGCACTTGGACCGATGCAGCACCATCCCCTACCTCCTTGGACCCTTGAGATGCCTTGCGCACAATTTCTCCCGCCATCAACGCTACGTCCTTAGCCAATGTCCGCCCTCCATCTGACTTTGAGGACACCAACCACAGCCGACAACCCTCTGCAATAGCGCCGCGCTTGAACTGCACCTCTTCCAGGCTTTCTCCCTTGGGCCGACAGCCTAGGATGATCGAATCCACGCTCTGGAACAGGGTAGAGTTCGAAAAGGGACTTGTCGCCGTGTCTCTGATGATGACATTGGAGCCCGAGCATGCAGCAGAAGCGTCTTTTCCGATAATGACTCGAAGTCTGAACTCGCCCTTGGATTGGACTTGCTTTTCGTAGGCACGCATGTAAACTCTCTGAATGTGCTCCGGTGCTTCCGTGACAGATGGAGTCTGGCAGCTTGTCGGCTTCGCCCAGATCGAGCACAGTTGGGGCTGTGGGGGCTTTGCATCGTCCAGAATCCTCAACGGAGCAAGTGAATCGCTTTCCGTCACCACTGTAATGTTACCCAGGCGAGGACAAGACAGCAGATCGTCTACGATCTCGACCATATTCTCGCCAGAGCTGACAACGGATACGTTGAGTCGTGGCTCGTTGGCACCTCGCAGCTCGTTTCTTCGCGAAGGATAATCGTCCGTGGAGATGATACGCTGGCCCGCTAAGAAGTCTGTTGTCGGTAGTGGTTGTGCGGCTGGTCCACTGGTCCGGGACGGAGACGGTGCAACAACACTCCTCGCTCGCACCACCCATGTTTTCCCAGTATTGTCTTTGACAGCTACCTTCCAGCCCTGTACAATATCTCTTTCGACTTCTGGGGCTACCCCGACAACTTCGCTACCATATCGTACGTCGTTCTTGAAATGCTCAGCACTCCACTTCATGTAGTCGGCAAATTCCTCCCTCAAAGGATTGAGGCGATCCGAGTTTGCAAACTCAATAAGCCGCTTGCGATTGAGGAGGTAGTTGACGTAGCTAAAGGCTGTTCTCGGATTCCGAAGTGTTGCCAGGTCGTACATGAATGGGCTTTCCATTCGTGTCCTTGATAAATTTGAATTGGAGCCCCATGAGAATGATGGCTTCTTTTCGATGAAAAGCAGTTTCAATGGTGCCCGAGACTCGCTATTTGCAATAGCCGTAGCCAGCTGCGCTGCCCCGAAGCCAATGCAAACGAGGTCATACAAAGGTGTAGGTTGCGCCATTGATGAAACTGGTGCTGTGTTCATGGTGCTGCTTGTTTCTTCGGCAGAGGTTATTGTGTGTGGAAGATGATAGAACAAGGACAGACACCGCGCGCTGTTATGTTTGAAAGCCACAAGTTCTAAAACGTGATATGACACTAGCAGTTTAATTTCATACCACAGCAGCGACCATGCACAACCCATACGCAGAACAAAAAGATCCGAGCTTTATCCAGCAACGGTCAGGCACCCCGATATCCAGGCTCAAAACAACGATGTCACCGACAGCTAGTGTGGGCCGCATGGATGCGCCGTAAATGCACGCCACACATGTACGACAACTTGCATGGGTTGAGGGTGGTAGCACGAGACCCACATAATACGATCAGCCACCCACCTGGGAATTTCATCGCACCACGGCCACCCACGCAAGCGCTGGCAACTGTTGCCCGTCAATGGCTAGCTTATCCAAACAATTCGTTCCGGTTACTAGGGACGACCTCGGTTAAACAGCCTCAGGGCAGCTGTATCTAAGTTGAATGCCTTCAAGCAACACATCCCGGCTATGCAAAGGTCCTTTATACAGTCTTCTTGTGTCTCCCCCTCTGCCAGCGCAAAATTTAATACTCAAAAATGAGTCAACAAACGAAGCCAACTGCGGCAGAAGAGCCATTCATTCTCAAACTTCCTCACCCATATCTTACCGCATACGCAATCGTCAATGACGCTCCCAAAGGAAAACCTATCAACGATAAGATCCGGATTTCCTCGGCGAACACAACTGGCAAGGAGGTCACTCCGCCAGTTGTATTGCACAACGAAGACATCTCGTTCAGTGGTATCGGTTCACCGAGCCAAGACAGTATGCCACCAAAGGGCGATAATAGTTCTTGGGCGCGCGCTCGACGATCACCCCATGTAACTATTACCTGGAATCAGGATAGACCTACAGTTCCGCAGGTCTGGCTTGTCGCTTATGCGTTGGTCTCACTGCATCCTCTGGTAGAGAATTTCCGCGTTATTCTCTCCGGCAAGGATTCCAAGTCACTAGCTCATGAGCTGTATGTCACTGGCCTCTTCCACCCCCATCCTAAATCCTCTCGAGCAGAAGCACCTCAAGACGGTCATCTTCTCTTCAGAGGCACCTTTTGGCAGGGTGCCGCATCTCCGTTCGGAGCCCGCCCGGTGTGGGCGCCACACCTGGATGCCTCCGGCAAACCAGCCAACAGACAATACCCCCCTTTTCCATTCCAGAATGCACCGAGTACTCAATTTCCAGCTTTGCCCCGACATACTATGCATCCTGTTCGGGAGCCCAAGCCAGAGCCAGGATCCATCATCTATAGCCGGTGGATACCACATCTGAAGGAACACTTCACCATGGTGGCTCTCGACTACACCAACGATGAGCATCTCCGCTTATTCAACAAGTGGCAGAATGACCCACGCGTGGCTGCTGGCTGGAATGAGACGGGTACTCTTGATCAACACCGCGAATATCTCCGCAAACTGCACGAGGACCCCCACGTGCTCACCATGTTTGCCGCGTTTGACGATATTCTCTTTGCTTATTTCGAAGTCTATTGGGCAATGGTATGTCTCACTTGTGCTTGCTGTAATGTAATTACGTACTAACAAACGCATAGGAGGATCACATGGGCGCCCACTACCAGTCGTCACCATACGATCGGGGAAGGCACTCGTTGGTAGGGGATGTGAGATTCAGAGGCCCGTACCGTGTGTCTGCATGGTGGTCGGGTCTAATGCACTACATGTTCCTTGATGAGCCGCGCACATGGAACCTAGTGGGAGAGCCTGCAGCAACAAGCAGTACTGTTCTGGCTTATGACTTTGCCCATGGTTTCCACGTGGAAAAGCTTATGGATCTCCCACACAAAAGGAGTGCGCTCATGATGGTTAACAGGGAGAAGTTCTTCACTCTGAGCCCATTCACATGGGATGGAGAGAAGAAGGTTCGGCCAAGTCTCGACGCAGGTGCCAAATTGTAATTCATCACTTAGCGTTTCATTTTTTTATATCTTACGACAACACCTCATCAATCAATACTCTACACGACAATACGCAATCGTATGAACACTCGCCATCCGTGCATGCTGCTTCTCCTGAATGTCGGAATTCTCATATTCTAGAGTGTGCGTAACTTCGTCTGTACCAGGGGACGACTCATACCCCACATTAGAGAGTATTTGCATGGCCGTCACAAAACTAGTCTCGATGAATGCCACAACCCCCCGCTGCATCCCACATGCAAAATGCGGATCAGATATTTAGCCGCAAATTTTTATCTGATCCGTCCTGTGCGTAGCGCCACACGAGGGTGTGAACTGACCGTGCGAGCAGAGTCGAGCGGCCTTGTTGCCCGAATATTCGCGCACTAATCCGATGATGGGTGTGTGGGAGTGTGGTGGTGGATTACAAGACGTAACGGCATTGCAGCCGGCAAATCCCAATGGGTATGGCCACTCCACTTGATGCCTCCAACTAGTACAAAGCTCCGCGAGAAAAAAAATTTACTCGAAGCGCCAGCATGACGTGACAATGCCTGATGAGGCAGGCCAGCGGATCTGATAACGCTCCATGATGTTCGCCCAGCCGCTAGTCGGGCTTCCCAGCCGGCCCTACCTCCACGCAATATCCCATGTGGCGACGCTAATTTTGATCTGATAAAATTTACGTTTGATCTGATAAAAATTTGCATCGTCAATGCGCCGACTAATGAAGCACTACATTCAACCCCCACCGACATCGCACCAGCCGTGAGCGGTAGTTGATCTTATCAGATGAGATGAAAGGCGGTCCTTCGCTGGCTGGTGTGACAGGGATAAGCACACCCCTTGCTGTCACCAGACGCGGCTAGAACTTCGCGGCTTGACGACGGCTTTGGACGATCGTCACTCCTTCGAAATAGGGTCCTGGCCATCGTGTTGGAACCCTTGCTGGACCATGCCATGGCGCTGCTAGTTGCAGTGTGTCGGAAAGAGCAGGAGATAAGCTAGTGGATCGGTTGACTTTGTGATGTCGATACTTCTCGTACTCTCTACACTACTCCGGATCAAGCATCATCCGACCCGAGCAATGGCTAATGCCCTTGTGTGTCCAAGATGCAGGAAATGTCGCACACAGGATGATTCATTCCGCTCTTGTCCTTAGATCCGAGCAATCGGCGAAATACTCATCATCACCTTCGTTGCAACGACGGGCAAATTGAGCCGGAACAGTAACTTGAGAGGTTTGCATCAGTCTTTCGATTGCTTCAAAGTGCCATACGATACGGCTTCTTTTCGGTATCTCACATCGTTTGTGTTCCATTGCCTATGTGCCCAGTTGATAGATTACATTCATCGCAACTGCTATCGAACACTTCACTTCCTCTTGCCCCCTTGACCACTATTACTTGGTATACTACCAATCTTCTGCTGTAGCAAGAACCAGTACGAGTCCGGAGCCATAATGGCGGAAATATACGACCAATCTCGAAACGACGCTTTGCAGCGTCTCAACCAAACACTTCTTCAGATCGACCCCTACGATCTTCCACCATACCCCAACCTTTCCATCGTCACAGGGCCCCTCGATCCGCCGCTGGTTCAGTTAACACTCTCTCAACTACTCCAACAACAAGCCGCACATTACCCCAGCAACGAAGCTGTCGTCATACCATGGACTGGTGCGCGCTGGACGTACCAGAAACTATGGGCAGAATCGAGCTTGTTAGCCAGAGCATTGCTGAAAGAAGGAGTTCGACCAAGAGATAGGATAGGCATCATGAGCGGAAATTGTGAAAAATACATTGCATTGTTCTTTGCCTGCGCAAGAGTTGGTGCGATATGCGTTACTCTTAACAATACCTATACTGCAACGGAGATGGAGTTTGCTTTGAAGCATACAAGTACGTCTTCCTTCCAACATTGATCCCAGAAATTCCTTGGAAGACTGACGAAACCAGAGTGCCGGATCCTATTCACTACCCCTAACATTGCCCGATTTGACAACATCCCGTTACTGGAAAGACTGGATCAAAAAGATGTAGCATCAGTACTTCCGGATCTCAAGACCGTATGTTTGATACGAGGTCAACATGACTCTTTCACCACCTACTCTTCCTTCATCAACAACGCTCAATACATTCCCGAGCATATCCTCGACATCTTTGATGGCATAATAAGTCCTCACGATGTAGCAAACCTCCAGTTCACAAGTGGAAGCACTGGCAAGCCAAAAGCAGCCATGTTAACACACTAGTTAGTCCTCTCCCTTCCCCTCCTCTTCCCTCCATATGCTTCCATGTACACCCAGCCAACTAATAAACCTACCTCACAGCAACCTCATCAACAACTCTCGCTTCATCGGCGATCGCATGCAACTCAGCCCCTCCGACACCCTCTGCTGCCCTCCACCCCTCTTCCACTGCTTCGGCCTAACCCTCGGCGTCCTCGCCGTCCTAACCCACGGCTCCACCATCGTCTTCCCAGCCGAAGCCTTCGACCCCGCCGCCTGCATGAATGCCATCGCCGCGGAGAACTGCACCGCGCTCCACGGCGTCCCTGCAATGATGGAATCCATAATGGACGTCCGGCGCCCGGCGGGCTGGCAAAGCAAGTTACGAACTGGCATTGTGGCTGGCAGCCCCGTCCCCAAATGGCTCATGGAGCGCATGGTGTCTGAACTCGGTATGACGGATTTCACATCGTCGTACGGGCTCACGGAAGCGAGTCCAACCGTTTTCAACGCGCATACGACGGATTCGCTGCATGCGCGCTTGACGACTGTTGGTACCGTGCTGCCGCATGCGAAAGTCAAGATCGTGGACCGCAACGACCGCGTTGTGCCTATTGGCGTTAGGGGCGAGCTTTGCGTGGCGGGATATCAGATTTGTCGCGGCTACTGGGAGAACCCGGAGAAGACGGCTGAGCTCATTGTTAACGATGAGTATGGGGAGCCGTGGCTGCATACCGGTGATGAGGCTGTGTTGGATGTAGATGGGTATTGTACCATTACTGGGCGGTTCAAGGATATCATTATCAGAGGTGAGTTCTTTTCCCCGTTCTTCTAAGTGATGAGGTGTGCTGATGTGCGTGAAATAGGAGGGGAAAATATATATCCTCTTGAGATAGAAGAACGGCTGGTTGAACACCCGGCTATCGCGCGAGCGATTGTCGTTGGTGTGTCGCATCCGCGCCTTGTAGAAGTTCCTGTGGCATTTTTGCTTCATGAAGCAGATACGCCGAAGCCTGATCTAGCGGAGGTACAGGGCTGGGTCAGGAAGGTGTTGGGTAGGCACAAGGCGCCAGTGCACATCTTCTGGTTGGGAGAGGATTGCGATGCCGAGGTTCCGCTGACTGGCAGTGGCAAGATTAGGAAGTTTGTCCTGAGGGATGTAGCGGAGAGTTTGCTGAAGGAGAGGTAGATGGTGATTTTGGTACATGTAGCGATGCATTTTAGAGATGGTCTCAGATCGATGACTTGAAAATATCATGCTGGGTTGTAATGCAGTGTTGCACTTTGTCAAGATCTTCATCGTTTATTGTGTACGCCGCTGTGAGAAACTATTTCAGAATGGTTGGCTTGCTTGGATACAACTCGTGGACGGTGACGATAAACTTGGTCGACGGGTCGGTCTCTTTAGTAGCAAAAGTGTATACATCATCGTCCATACGTCTCGATTGTCGAATGACCTTTTCTCCCATCAACCGTTTCGTCTTACATGACGAGAAACATCCGTTTACTGTTCCAACCCTTCCGTATCCCTAATAGGTTACCTAAGATGTAGCGATGCAAACAGTAAAATTCGCATCCCATGTCTAAAGCTTGTATCTCCTTGCAGCAAAGTAGATCAGTAATCGATTTTTCGAAATCTACTGACATGAATAGTCTTACTCTTTTCTCTCTCTTCGCGCCTCCAACTTGACGAACGGGTAGCTGTAGAGAACACTTGGTGCGCTAGTATATAGTCACATATGGTAGACTATGTATGATTGTTGTAGCGGTTCGAGGATGATGATTCTTTTGTTAATCTTTCCGTTATTTTACACACCATTGAATTGGAGGCGAAAAATTATCAGTTACATGCTGATCATCCGGCATAGTACGCCAATCAACTTGGCCATATCGATCAGTAAAATGTTACACAGTGAACCCATATCATCCGCTGTAACAAGATATCTCAGGATCGCTGATATCTTACGTGACATTATTTCCTGAAACTGCACATATGGGCTTTCACTGACAAGAGTTGCGGCTATAGAACCGCAGTGTCTCCGAACCCGATGGGAAGGCCTTAGTGAACATGTTGTACGTGGACGTAATAACACACAATAGAGGAACAAGTTACATAGTAGTTTCTACAATCTCATTGTTGGTTCTCATAGAATAGGACAGTGCAAGTGAAGTAAGAAGGAAGTAGCTACATCAAACACCCACATTCACTCCCGCCTTCACCTCTATCGTCGCTTCAACCTTTCACCCGCTATATTGCTACCAACATACCTTTTCTACAAAGTAACAGATCTTTTATTTCTCCCCCCACTAGATCGTTTACCGTCAACACAAAATGCCACGACCCTTGCTTCCAGTACCACCTCGCGCCTCCCACACGCAACCCTCACCCTCCGACAACACCTCCGGACCACCTCCACTCACAACCCGCTTCGGCCGCCGCGTAATCCCACCACGAGACCTGTCTCCTCCCGCTGATCCACCCTCCCAGCCATCTCAGCCGCCCCAGACACCCCAGAAAACCGCAACAACAAAGCTCCCAGCATACTACTCGCTCGCACCCACCGTTCCCTCCCCCTTCACAGGGAGCCTAGAAACAAGTCTCGATGCAATTCTCGCCTTCGGCCAACTCTACGCTGCAATCCCCGGCGTCACACCCCTCATCACCAAGCTCCTGGAGCCCGTGTCCACCGACACAGACTGGGTCGCTATCATGACTGCGTTGGAAACAGCGACACCGCTGCACGCCCAGTACCTCATGACAGAGCTCCTCTTCCTCCTCACGCGCACACTTCTCCCAGAGCAAATCGCAGAGAACAGGGCAATGCTAAGTCGTCTTTACGAGCGCAAGAAACAGCTCGCGATACGCTTGCTACTCCGGTACGACATGCTGCGGGAATGGATCATGGAACCGAGCCAGTCTTCGTATCGGGAGCAGCCGATTGTCGTTGCGTCGACGGGGCCGGTCGCGGGGTTCGTGGCTCCAGAGCCTGTTGTCGGTGTTGCGTCGCTAAATTATCCGTATCGGCGGCCGCTGCTGTTGAATGTGATTCCTACCTTAATTGCGGCGCCGGCGGGGGGTTATGCGTCGCAGAGTGCAAGGGATCGGATGAGGCATCATGTTACGGTGTTGGATGGGTATCTTATGCTTAGGGATGAGGAGGTGGAGAAGTGGAGTGAGGGAAGGTTGAAGAGTAAAGTGTGTTTTGTGTTGATGCATTGGCAGTGGTTGAGGGGGAATAATGCTACGTTGGATGATTTGGAGGTGTTAGATTGGGAGGGGTTGGAGGGCAAGGCGGAAGAGTGCGGGTGGATTGGGGATGATACTACTAGGGTTCCTACAGGGAGCAGTGTGAAGAAGGAGTTGAAGTCACTTGGATAGGAAAGGTTGACTTCTTTGCTTGAATAGTCAGGGGGTTTGTTATTTGTAGAGGCTATGGTTGTACGTAACGGTCGGCTGGGAAAAAGATCGTTGCGAGAGTCGTAGAGGTTCGTTGCGCATTACAAAACTTCATGCTGGTGAACGCTGCTGTTCCTTGTCCAGCGACGGAACGCCTTACCCTTCCACCAGAAGAGTAGACCAAAGGAACACCAAAGTGTAATCAAAGCTGCGTTAGTCATAATAGGCGGGATGAAGCTGAAGTCGTTAGTGAATGCTATCTGTATTGTAAAGTTGCTGAACTTACCCGTCGTCGATAGTCCAAGGAGTAATGAACTTTCCCATTCCGTAACCCCAAAGATTCTTATTAACCGTTACTGCAACAAAGATCGATCCTGCTACAGGCTTGTACGAGTCGACGGCATAAGTGGTGGCGATACCTGGTAATGCAGCGACCTGGATACCAGCGCATGTATAACCAATAATGACAATGACTTGCCACGCCCATTTGCGCTCATACCCAATCGAGACGACAATGTTTCCAATAAGCATTATAATGACGTAGGGGATCATAGCCGGCAACCGCATCTCAGGCTCACGAATGCCATTGTTCCTCCTTGTGCTTCGTAACGACACCCAATCACTGAGTGGTCCAGCAGTGAAGAGGCCAATGATAGCACCGACCATAACGGCGAAGTTAGTGAAACCGACATATACAGGCTTGAAGTTGTACGGCGGTGCGGCAAATACTTGGCTTTGCGTGAGATTGAGTGTGAGGAAACTGGAACAGGACCAGCTGGCGACGAAAGCAGCAAACTCTACAATGGGAAAAGTGAGAAGTTTCCACGGAACCCAGATTTCGAGAAAGATGGTACGGAAAGGATTCACGTTCGGTTGGAACACCCTCCACTGCCACTTAGCAGGTTTACCCTTGCCGAGATGCGGATCGCGCAGTTGGGTTTCGGACATGGTGAGATCCTTATTGGCAGTCGAGATGACAGTCTCAGCTCTTTGGATATCTTTGGTATCCTGCTCTGTATCCGAATTGCTCACTTCCTTCTGAGTAGATGTTTTGGTCTTCTCCTCCAGAGAAGGTTTTTTTTCCTGGCCCTCTTGCACGGGTGCAGCACGCCTGTATCTTGTTTCCGGAAACGCGAAGACGCACATGAGGAACGAGAAAGCCAAGAGGGCGGTGTTTAGCCACCAGAAGTCGCGCCACCCGACTGTCTCTGCCATGGACCCAGACACAATCGGGCCGATCATGAGTGAGCCCATATACACCACCCAGTATAGAGTGTTCCACTTGCCACGGTCATGCAAAAAGAATATATCGGCAATGACTTCAGGCATGGTAGTCTCTGAAGGGCCTGCACCAATACCGTTGACGATACACGCGCCCATGAATGCGCCGTAAGAGTTTGCCTTTGCGCGCCATATCGATGTGCCAAAGTTGATGAGCTGGGACAAAAGGAGTACGGGGCGACGGCCGAAAGAGGAGCTTATGGGAACCCTGACGTATGCCCGTCAGCGACCACACGAAGTTGACGGGGAAACGGGATGCTTACCAGATGAAATTACTAAAACCCAGAACAAGAATACAAACACCTGTAAATTGAACTGCACCAGCCAGGTCTGTATCGAAAGCCTGCATAAGGGCAGGGAACATTGGGGAAAGAGCCAATGGACCGAATCCCTGAGAGAATGTAGCTACGGCTACTGATGCGATTGTAGCAGTCTTCCACGCGGGGCTCCAGTTGAGCGGATCGTTAGGATCATCACTGGGTTGTGGAACCAAGACTACCGCATGATTGCCTTTGACGAAGTGGTGTGAGCCGACATCAGTCATGACCTCCGTGCCGGGGAGAATCTCGGTATGCAACTCTTCTTCGAGTTGATGTCGCTCCTGAACATTGTCAATAATTCCCTCAACAATAACAACTAAGAATAGAAACCTTACATCTTCATGATAGTCGCGAGACACCATGATCGCGGCGTTCAGTCTGAACCTTCACACAATCGCGGCGGGAATAGTATTGCGTGAGCGCTGTTCGAGCCACCTCGTTCTTCACGGTTGATTGGGGAGTTGAGGTCTTTGTTTGCAGGCCAGTTGTTTCAAAAGGTTATGGTCCAATTAAAGCTGTACTGCCCCGGTACAACTAGCCCGGCGACTGCTGACAGATACGGGAATGATTACGCCGCAATCAACTCCAGATGAAATGTCGATATTGGCGAATGGAAATAAGTTGAAACTCATTGAACGCCCAAAGATAATCCCTCGTGAAACATACGCAGCCTCTGAAGGTTACTAGGGATACCCAGTGGTCGGGTCGTGCCGTCCTTCGCGATATGTGATGAAATATGTGATGCAATGAAAGATGCAATAAGCCAGATCAACGCACCTGTGAAACTGTGAACAGGATGCATGTATCCAGCACTGCGAACAGAGTACATATATCTGACATTCGGCCATGTTTTCATAAGGCCTGGATTCACCGAGAGCTCACAGTGCTTAGTCACTTTTGATGATTGGTTAATCTCGAGTTACACCGAATAGAGGACCGAGCGGATAACAAGCCATGACACGGCAGATGCATGGACATGTCCCACTGGCTACAAAATCTACGCGAGCGGCCCAAAAACTCTCTAGAGAGAACGGCACTTGAGAAGAATGACGGGTTCGCGATTATTGTCACGTCAGTATGCAATTGCCGGGTTGTAGTTCAGTGTACTGGCGTACCCGTTCTGTGTAGCCGATGCGGGGAAAGCTGGGGACACCCCGCCAAGAAGCAAGCCTAGATCAGCCACCGCGCTCACCCTCTCATACAAAAGGTACATAAACACGTGCTGTACAGCTGCAATGTCGGAGTATTTCCTCGGTAGTAATCTTGCTGACAAAATTAGATGTAATAGACGGCACAAAGACCTGCCGTGCCAGTATGTGCGCCTGTACTATGACTAGTGGCCTAAGTGGCGGTTGTAGTAAGATTGGGTGTGCAGCCCCCCTGATATGTACATGGCTTTGGCGGTAAACAACAAACAAAAAACGGCCGTGTCATTCTGTGGGGAAAAGATGTGCAAGCAACAAATCCTGGGGAAATCCTCATGCTCTATAAGTTTCATTTGCTGTTAAATACGCTGCATGGGTGTGCTCAACAAGCCTAATTTATTGGGCATCGAGCTGGACGCCTAACAAGATCAAAAACAACAAACGTGACGAAACTACAAGACGTACTTCTGAGACTCTTGCCCCGATGTTTCAATACACACCTGCGTTGCTTAGAGTCTCTTTGCACTAGAGATTATGCACATAAACAATATTTGCCACGTGCTTTCGTAGGGCATATGACAGCTGTCAGCTGTCAGCAGACTGGGCCTCAGCCACACCCATCGGGCTTGCATATACTATACATGTACATGTGCCAAGGTCGGCCCTGATTCTGGAGAAAGTTAGCGCATCTAGAGATATCGAATGTAGGATCAAGCACCTCAGAATTGGGGCGGCGTTCCAACCAATGACGGCGAAGTCTCCCAATGCATGTGTATATACCCAGAATGATCGGCCGGGTTTGGCTGCATCGTTTACTATGAAACCATAAGAGAGCAAATATAGCGTAGGTACAATGTATGGTCTGTGACAAAGTACCTGCTGTTTTAATCACGCGATATACCTCAACAAAATATGAGACCAAGTAGAGCTGGGGATTGCATAAACTGTTTGGTGCATAGCGACTTCTGCAGGCTAAGGATAAAATCACAAAAACAGGTTGTAAGGTGATGAAGTGAGGGGCACTGCATACACATATGTAAGTACGCGTTGCTATAGCTGAAATGGCTCAGCCTGCAGTTAATACGGGCGTATTATACGTACAAGGTTAATTCACTGGAGGGGCAGCCGCAAATACCAGGTGAGCAGGAAGACACTAGACCCATTTGGGCGGGAGGGTATAGTACGTGGCATCACTTTTCGAGTCTTCAGTGTCTTTGAACATCAAACTCTATATACGAGATTTGAATATGTAGTAGAAATATCCCTCATCAGCTTACATGTATACAGTGACAAGTTAATTGCAAGGAACACGCATGGTAAATTGTAACTGTAGAGATACGGAGGTTACATTCTTTCCCACCAGCTGACAGTGACATTATACGATGCATAGTCATAAGGACCAAGTTTTGTTTGCTCGGTAATCTCATTTTCCTCGTTCTTCTGCAAATTTGGACGACCATACGATAGATAATCATGCACTCGATCTCTCTTATACTTGGAGGTCGGGTATTGCATTGAACAATAATCGTTTAGGTGCAGAAATTGTGCTAACTTAGTTATTCAGGATGTTACTCAAGCTCAACGTGAATTTCAAAAGCGAGGTTTTGAAACCCTGCTAATTAATTTCGTGCGCCTCGTTAAGTGTATGAGGCAAACTCGGTCGAAAATGCGCCGTAGGTATGCTGATTGGTTGAAAGCTCACTAGGGGTCATGCAATAGTATCTTATGGCTTGTTTCAGTTGTTATAGAAGATACTTGGTTGTATGTTGGCTGTAAAGTATATTCTAAAAGATTGAATGGTTGTTGGTGTTTTGGTTTTGGGTACAGCATATCGTAACAGGAAACCACCACAGTCTCTTCGATCGGGAGAAGCAGGCACAAGGAGAATTCTAGTTCACTAAATATTCGTAGGTACATCCTTACACAATGCACATGCTGAATTTGATCGACTATGTGGGCTGCGGTATCGCATGCGTAAGTAGCCATATGTAATCGATAGACGAAAAATACAGATACGAATACGAGGAATGACTCAATGGTGTCATTCATTGATATGCATTCAAGATTTTGTATTTCAGCCCTTTTAGAAGTAGTGCCCCAGGCGATTTATTGCAATCTTGACCTGAGTATCAAACTCAAATCTTCTTAGCTTGAATACATTGTGCCGTGATCTCGAGCCGAGTTGGGTGCA